CATCATTTCATGTAGTGAATATACATTAAATATAAAAATATCTAGGTCCCAATCATGATTCAGTAACTGATTTAGTCAAGGCAATTTTTTTCAAAGCTTTCCAGATGTCCAGTCAGTGGCAATGCCCCCAAAACATACAGATTTTTATTCTAAATGTCAAGGGTGATATCAGTCAAGTGTGCCTGAGATAAAAGATAGATGAGCCCACTCACAAGCAGGAAGTCATTCCTGACCATTGAGAATTCTTGAGTTCTGTGGATTTTCTAGGACAAGATTGTATGAAGAGGGTATTTATTTATTTGTTCATTTATTCATTTAAATATTTAATTGAAATAGAATTATATCACTTTACCCCCTCCCTTTCCTTTCTCCCAGTTATCCTTATCCTCCCTCAATCCCCTCTCCTCCAAGTCGATAGCTTCCTTTCCTTTGATTTTTATTCATACACACACACACATACACACACACACATACACACACACACACACACACACACACACACACACACACACACAATCTAAATACAACATGCTGAGTCTATTTTTGGCGGTTGTATGTTTCAAGGCTTTGCACTCTGCTTTGGACAACCGGTAAAGGTGCCCATCCCTGGGAAATGCTGATCTTCCTTCTCCCAGCAGGCAGTAGCTCCTGGTAGTTCTTTTGTCCATGGATGGCCCACCATGGAATGTCCCCATTCGACTTTAACATATCCCTTGATATTGCCATTGTTCCGGTCTTGTTTATGTGCTAAATAATTAGATAGAACTTTCCCCACGTTTACATGATAAGTCATAAACTAAAAGAACCAAGCCCATCCTTATATTTGAACACTATTGTGGAATGGAGAGGAGCCATTTTACCTTAGTACTTAGCCTGGAGCTGAGTGAACAATGCTGAGTGTCTTTTTTTTTTTTTTTTTTTTTTTTTTTTTTTTTTTTTTTTTTGTGGACTTAAGGAATGTTCATTTAGAGCACACATTCTTTAAAACAGAGCTACGATTGTTCTGCTCACTGCATTAAACAGAAATCAACTCAGAGGCCAGGGCCCTCATTGCTCCAACACCTGGAATCCAGGGAAGGCAACTGTGGTAATGTGATTAGTAGGAATGTAGAAGCAGAACCAAATACAAAGCTTTAGAATCAACTTTTTAAAATATTTTTTGTGTTTGGAAGTTGAGTGCATTATTATTTTTCTTGTGCAATTATTTTATAAATGGGAAACTGAATTGCATTTTTGTACTTTGTTAAGGAATTCAAGTTGAAAATGTTATTTGTATAAAGTTTGTTATATAGAAGAGTATATTGTCATTAAATATAATTGAATATTAAAGTCTAGTTATTTCACAACAGCAAACAAAAGATCTTATTGTTTGCCACCATAAAATTTTGCAGATATATTGTAACAGAAAATTTTTATAGTCTGGTATATGGAACTTTTCTAGACTCTTTCTTGGTCTGGTTTTCTGTTTAAGGAACAGACTAAATAAGCAAAACTCACTTAGCATACAAAAATTGAATTAGGTTAGTAAACTTATTTATTCATGAAAGGCCAAAGATGGAAAGATCAGTCAAAAGAATCAAGTTCAGGACTCTGCGGTAACATTGAAAACTACCATTAAAATAATAGGTGAGGGATTATTTTTAGAAAGGCAATTAAATATTTGAAATAATTTTTTATACATAACTTCATTCCTCCTGAGTCCCACACTATGCTACTTTTAAACCCATGTTCAATTACAAAATGCAAAGGCTTAAAAAGGCAGGACATTAAATTTGTATGTCCATTTACTGTTTTAATTTTTTCATTTATTTATTCTTCTCTTATAGATTACATCCCAACTGCAGTTTCTCCTCCCTTCTCTCCTTTCAGTCCTTCCCCCTCATTTCTCTTCTCCCCAGATCCACTCCTCCTTCTCTGTTTCCTTTCACAAAAGAGCAGGGCCTCCCAGGGATATCAAGGAAACATGGCATAACAAGTTACAATAATGCACACCATATTCATTTAAGTCTGCTTCGAGTTCAAGTTCCATTGATCAAACCGAGCAGTAAAGCAAGGGAGGAAACATCTCTAAGTGGTTGTTTCACAGTTCCTAGGAAGTTTTCCTTCTCTAATACCTTGTACATTTGCAATGTGTTTACCTCTCAAGTCATCTTCCTAGCGCATTTTAGAAAACCACATGCAGTTGTAGAGAGAAAAGTTGCCAGAGGACATGCACAGACGTTTTCTAGTAGTCAGGAGATGGGATTCTCTTTCATGTCTATTCCAGAATAAGCTACTTTATAAGTTTATCTCATTGAATGTTTGACCTTTGCCCTTTTACATAGATATCTTATCTGAGTTTCTAATTTTGTGAACATCTGTTGCTTCCTTCCCAATGTTTTTCTACCCACTTGCTCTCTGTTATCCCAAGAGATTCAAGTTCTTCCCTCACATGCTCTTGCTTGTATTTTAATATCCTCTTCTAAAGATTTTGTACTTATTTTTAATAACTCTAAATTGATAGTTTCCTTTGAGATTAAATGAACTAAATTGCCACAACTTATAATTTTCAGGGTTACCTGCACTACAACCAAATATTACTTCAAAGGAAAAAAAAATATGAGCCCTTTGCCAGAATTGCCTCTATTTAATTATAGCAATGCATGCACTCTGTAATTGTTCAGTGCCAGAATTCATGGTAAAGTTGAGATCGTTATTTAATATTTCTCATTAAAATGTTTTGTAGTATTGTTACATAGACTTCCAAACTAAAACAATGGCAGTGATTTAATAGTTGTATATTAAAACCAAGATAATAAAGGTCTATTGAAAATTACTTAGAGTAACTAAAAGCCTTCTTGAGAGCCAGCACCAAAATGAGACTCGTGTGGTGAACAACATACGCTTTTATGTGTGCAGACCTGTGTTCTAAATCCAGTTTTAACTTAGGCAAGTGGAATTATTTGAAGAATTCAGGTTACTTTTGCCTCAAAGCTGTTTTCCCATCTGTTAAAAGGGAAATAGAATGTAATGAAATTTGAAAGATGAGCAATAAGACTTTTAAATTTCTCAATGTTCGACTATTATAGATACATTCTCAACATCATGAATGTTCATGAAGAAAATCACTTCTAATTTGGGAGCTGCCGGGGGTTTCCCTTTATTAGAAAAATGGGAGAAAAATTCTTAGAGGTTCTACTATTTAGCTTTAGTTTGCTACCTGAAAGCCTGCATCTGCTAAGTGTCAGATTGTAGTGCCACCAGAGTCTCCCATAGTCCTTTCGCTTCCCACTAATCTCTGTTAAAAATAAATAAGTGACAATACAATGTTGTGAAGAATTCTCTTTCTGACATTTCTAAATGATGAAGTTTCAAGGTGTAGGTTAGGATTGAAGCTTTTTCCCACATCATCTTTTATGGTTATATACAGATAGAACATGTAACAAGATACAGTGGGTATTTATAAATAACAATAAGTAAAAATTTGTGTGTTACCAGTTAACATCCTTTAATAGGGCACAATCAAATCTGTATTGGTTGTGAATTTTGCTATAGTTTTGTGTCAGAGGGTTTTCTTTGTACCTGAAGTATGTAATAATAGCTACTCAGAATGCGTAAGGATGTAAAATACGTCTGTCTTTGTCTAATGTAATTGTTCCCATTTTCTACTTGTATGTACTGAAAAACACAATTTAGTGGAGCAGCTTCTGGAGGCAGTGGTGGATCTTATATTTACAGTGAGATTGTGGTGTTCCTGATATCTCTCTGTTGAAACTTAGTGCATCTATAAATTAAATTTATGTTATATAAAATACCTATCTTGTAAACAGTGTTAATTTCTTGAATCTAAATAATATGCTTTCATAAATTTCAAAGCTGCACATGAAATATTCACCATGTAGACAAAAGCAAAGAAAGACAACATCTCTGAAAATTATGACACCCCAGCAGGATAGTTACCACTTTCCACTATACTGAGAGACAATTTTAATTAATTTTCTGTTTAGCACCCAAAGAGAGCAAACTAAACCTTTAAATGAGGGATAAATTTTAGAACTGGGTGTGGTGGCACATGCCTTTAATCCCAGCACTTGAAAGACAGAGGAAAGCTGATATCTGTGAACTCAAGGTCTGCTTGGTCTACATAGTGAGTTACAGGATAGTAACCACTGCACAGAGAGGCCCTGTTTTAAGAAACCAAAAAGGAAATTGATGAAAAAATTTAAAATATGTTTATTTAAAATAATACCTGAGTACTTTAAATGTTACTGAAAAAAAAACCAGCTGTATCTCTAAAGAAGATTTAGTGGATATTTTATATAAAAAATGAATTGAATCTGTTTAATATATTTAATGTAGAGTACCCTCAATAATAACATTGCTGAAATAAAAAAAATCAACTTGTAAAATTTTAATTAGGGATAAACATGAGCATCTAAAATACCCAAGAATATTAAGTGGTGCATGGGTACCTACCTTCCATAGTTCTCTGCTCTCTGCCTAGCACAGTTGCTGGCTTCCCGAGCATGAAACTTATCGGAGCAGAGGAGAAAAAAAGACCACCATCCACTCCAGGCCACATCTCCCCTTCTCCCTAATGATCAGTCACCCTCTATTCCTAGTAATAAGTATTTATTTTAACAGAAACATTTGTGTCATGGGGGGAGGAGAGCCCGCAGTATAACTTTCATGTATTCAACTTGGAGTCCCTGGAAATTTGGGGCAAGACATTTCAGCCATATGCAGATGAAAGTTATTACTGCTATTCAGTTCCAATGTTGATGTAAATGTCCTTTGATTTTCCTTGAATCAGTCATCCTGCTCCTCAGTGTCCTAACAGAGCCCTGAATCCAGTTGCAAGTGCAACTCTTCCGTATTGTTTGTTTGTATCTTTTTGTTTTAAAGTGTGTCATGATATTGAACTGCTGACATCCAGTGTCTTATTTTTTTGCTGAATATTCCCAGAGTGAACAGTAACGGCCCAGTTGTCCTCACACTCTCACCACTTGTTTCCTACCCAGCCTGTGGCCGCAGGTTCTACAAATCTTCCTCTCAAGATCTTCAGTGTTCTCGTTGTCCAACCCACAGTTTCTCTGACCGAGAAGGCTCCTCGAGATGTGAATGTGAAGATGGCTACTACAGAGCTCCTTCTGACCCGCCGTATGTCGCGTGCACGAGTAAGTTCAAGCCAGGGAATGAATGGCTCCTATTTCCTTTCCATTCATTTGCAGAGCTCAGTAGAGAATCAATCACTAAGGTAGGCTTTAAGTTTGAAACTTTTAGTTCTTCATATTTGTAAACTTTTCCATAAGCAGGTTCAGTGAAGCAGTGATGTTAATATAGTTTCATCTCTCAAAACTAAGAGTCATTTAATAATGACTCTTTTATATATGGTATTTCTTAGAAATCATTACAAGTTATTGGCTATCCAGTATAGGAAATGTGACTAAACAGTAGTGTTTTCGGAACTATAATCCTGGTGATAAACAAAAGTCAGTCTTGCATATTGCTGCTTCAATTAATGAATGTTGGAGAGGCCCACGTAAAAAGAAGTTCGACTTATTGCTGTTAGTCATTCTCAAGCATATTATGATGAAATGTGTGTTTACTGTTATATGGTTCAAAGGAGAACTATTTGACAATCACACAACTCTTTTCTTTGAGCATGCTAACTGTTTCTGTTGCTTAGAAGAAACGTTGTGAATGACTGTGGCAGAAGTAGATAGGCAGTGTTACCCTATTCTTGTTCAGCATTAAACGGAAAGTAAATCCTCTTGTCAAGTCAGATAGCTTCTCTAGTGAAGATGTGAAAGAAATCGTGGTAGCCAACCTACTGGCTTTTCTATTCCATTCTAATACACTACATAGATGCTGTCGTTCACTTTGTTTGTATACATTTTTCTTCTTCTTTTTTGCCTACTTGTTTATTTATTTTTGGCTTCCAAAGGGCCTCCCTCTGCACCACAGAACCTTATTTTCAATATCAATCAAACCACTGTAAGTTTGGAGTGGAGTCCTCCGGCAGACAACGGGGGAAGAAATGATGTCACCTACAGAATATTGTGTAAACGGTGCAGTTGGGAGCAAGGAGAATGTGTTCCATGTGGAAGTAACATTGGATACATGCCCCAGCAGACGGGATTAGAGGATAACTATGTCACTGTCATGGACCTGCTTGCCCATGCGAATTACACTTTTGAAGTCGAAGCAGTAAATGGAGTGTCTGACTTAAGCCGATCTCAGCGGCTCTTCGCAGCGGTGAGCGTCACCACTGGTCAAGCAGGTATGTGCTGTGTGTCTTTTCTGAGTTTTCATTAGTTAGTGGTTCTGCCTGTGTGTTTGCTAACACCACTGCACAGAAATTTATGTTGCCAGCTTAGTGATTTAACTTTTACTTATTTCTCCTATTACCTGTTAAGTGACATTTAAACTTACTATATCTCTATAGTTCTGGCAAAGGAAGTAAAGTCAGAAGCATTTTAAGCCAGTTTAAACTGCTGTACTTTGAACTTTTTTTTTTTTTGAAAGCTCAAAAAGAGGAGTGAGAAACTACAGGCCAAGATAGTGAATAGTATTTGCCCTTTTAAAATATGGTTTGTGCTCATGATTATAATCTACATGACAGTTAAAAGTAATGAATGAGATTGTTGTGCCATCATATATTCCTAACCAAATGTTTACCGTAGAGAATATGATGCTTGTAACATCTGAAAACTTTGCTTTGTTAATTTGCACTAGAGTATTTTGAATTCATGAGTAGATGTGGAATCCTGTGACTGTCCCTAATTTTGTAACACATACTTAGCAAATTTAATGAGTATTTCAAAAGAAATGATAATTTTGAACTTGTAGATAAGTCTAATACTAGCTTGCATTATTTTTTAACTTACATTTGAAATGCTTTCCTTAGTTTTTGTTACAGCTAATAGGTCCTGGAAAATGAATGTTAGGTAGTCAGCTTGGGAAGCCAGACATTTCTGAAACCACCAGAAAAATCTTATTACTGGAAAGTTTCAGAAATTGGAGCTTTTCTCAGCTGAGGCTGTTGAAAGATGCTGTGCAGTCGATATTTAGTAGATGTAGCCAAGGACTAGGTTATCACCAGTACTAAAAGTGTCCCTGCACTAGATGATGGAGTTTTGTGAACATTGCAATAAGCTTATAAGAAGGTGCTTGTGGTCTTTGGCTGACTGTCTGAAACCAATCAGCATTCTACCTAGGAAGAGCCTGATCTGGTCTTCCTTTCTCTGTTAATTTTAACACTGCATTGCCTGTTTAAATTACATCTGTACCATGACAGCTGCATATGGACTTGTACTGCAGATTCTGTGTACATTATAGTTTTTTTAAATATGGTCAATGGACTGCTATTGTGCTCTGGAAATCACTGGGAAGGGATTAGGATATAAACTGAAACTCCGTGAAGAAGAACTGTATTGTTTCTCAAACTGGCCTCTCTAAGAAGCAATCAGCACGATGGAGTTTGGTGTGAGGAACTTGATTCAGGGTGGAGTTGAAATTAGACAACCAGGGAAGGGAGAAGCAAAAGAAAGTGGGCAAAGGGGCAACTGAGCTGTGAGGCAGTCTTGTTGGAATCTCCTTCAGTCTCTAGGGAGTGGCCTCCATTTAATGAACTTCCATGTCATCTTTTGTTGAAATGATTTTACACTTTGGTGTTTCCCAGATATTGACTCTTGAGTTTCACTAGGAAGGAATATGGTATCATTTTTCAGACAAAAAATAAAATCTTACGGAGGCAGGGAAGGGAGTTCTGCTTCTTGGCAGCTACCTCAGCAGCTGGTAAAATAATTTCTTTCGTCCTTCACCAAGGGGACTGTGACCACCACATCACACCATCCATTACATAAAATTAAATCATAAAAAAAAAACAGGGGAGCAAAGTTCAGGCTGTGTTTAGAGAAAGACAATGATCGGGGCTGGGTCAGTAAAGGTTTCCCTGAAGGGCTAGTGGGAGCTTCCTTGTTGGAAATAAGACCTGAGGCAGTGAGGACAGCCGGGTCTGGGGAGTAAGCGAGTTCGTGTTGACGGAGTGTTAATTTTTGTGTACCCTCCACACACATCTTCCCTAGTAATTGTAGCTTCTTCTGCTCCCTTTTCATTGAAAATAACGTTTTTTTTACTCACATAATATATCCGATTACAGTTTCTCCTCCCTCTACTCCTCCAATTTTCTCTCTCCTTCCCCTCACATCCAGATACACCCCCTTTCTGTTTCTCATTAGAAAACAAACAGGTTTCTAAGAAATAATAATAAAATAAAATATAATAAGGTAAAATAAAAAGTAACATATTGGAGTTGGACAAAACAAACAAGGGGAAGTGAAAGAGCCCAAGAGAAGGAATTAGAATCAGAGACCCAGTAATTTGCACACTCAGGGTGCCCCGCCCGACTTCTCCATGTTTTGTGAGTTGTGCAGGTGTTGTCCCCAGTAATGCAGCTGTGGTGTCAGAGTGTGAAGAACAACCTCTGGTCTTGACAACAGCCTGGGTTGTTAGAGGATACCAATGGAAACCCTTTGGCTACCAACTCTAGTAGATGAGACCTAATCCCAGGACTGGAAGCTTCCTTTGGTGAGAAGAGATGGCCAGGTGGGGCTCAGTCTCCCCCGTTCTTTAGCAATTCCTGTTAGATTGCCTTAGGCAGCTCTCTAAGTATGAAGCAGATGTTTTCTGGAGACACAAGGGTGTACCTGAGCCTCAGTCAGTGTGGCGCAGACATCCTAATATCACCTATCACTGATAATTTAGTCTCTTTTCTCTTTTTTATTGGAAGTTTTATTGTACATGGGTGAATGGGTTTCATAGCACTTCTGTATCATATCTTTAAATGTTTGAGCGAATGTGCTAATGTAAAACATGAATTTAAGAATATGACTTCTAAAGGATCACCAGTAAATTGTTTGACACAAATTATTGCAATTAATTATACTATCTCAGAATTTTCAAAAGTGTGTATATAATCATATCAATGATTGTTTCTTAAATCGCTTAGTTGTATAATCTATTACATGAGAATTCTCAGGTTAAATAAAGTAAGTGTTGAGAGAAAGGGGATCTAATAATGTGTTGTTGATATGAATGACAGAATAACTTTGAGGGATAACTTTGATAAACAGTATTATCTCTGACTGCCATTTCATTCCCTTTCTTTAAGCAAAAATAAAATTACATGTTTTAGTTTAATTAATTTCATGTTTTTCAATGCCCAGAACTGATCTCTCAGTGTAAGATTTATTTCAGTGTCCCTTTAGTTTGATTTGTGATATTTATGTAATGTTCCAAATAAAATATTTTGGTGAGGTCATATGATATAGCATAATACATAAGCAAAGCTATACTCAAAAGATGCTAGGACAAGTCATTTTCTTTAATTTTCAGAAATAGTCTTATTTAGAAATAAGAAATCACATGAATTAATGTGATTCAGCTCTAATACTTTTCTCAAAAATTAACCAAAATTGTTTCTTCCCAATGATTTAAAATGGACACAAATCAACTTACATGTCTGGTATTTAAAATAAATTATTTCCATTTATGTTGGTATATTTTTATATTTCTTGGAAATCTATAACCTTGGCTTATATTTTAAGGAAATATGCTCTCAAGAAAATATATCTTGTTGTTCTAGAACATTTACTGATTATGTAAAGTAACATTTTATTTGGCAGTCTCCAAAAGATATCATTAGTTCACCAATAGGTTAAAAAAAGCCACAAGTACAAAAAAAATTGTAAATCATGATTTAGAAAAAGGGTTAATTTTATTAAAACTTGCAGGCATGAGCACGTCTATGGCACCTACAGCAGAAGATCCGGGCTCTGTCCTTCCTAAATTCTTATTTTGAAGCTTTGATCCCCAGTGTGTCTGTCAGGTGATGGGGTGTACAAAGTAGAAAAAGGAAATTAAGTCTTAACAGTAATATGTCCCCTCATAGTCCATGACATTATAGGTAGTTACCCTAGAAAGTACCCTTCCCTCCTCCTCTCCCCTCCTTCCATGCACTGGAGGACAGGCTGTAACAGGAGCAGATGGAAAGCAGTGATCTCTAAGCCAGAAAGTGAAGCCTCAACAAAACTGAACCCTGTAGGGCTTTGGTTTAGGGACTCCCAGTCTCCAGATCTGTAGGAAAATGACTTTAAGTAAGACTATGGTATGTTCTAGCAGACCATGCTGATTAATGTAACTATTCATCTGTGAAATAATTGGACTTCACCGTAATATGCTGAAAGAAAATATTTGTTTTCTATGAACATGAGGCTAAATAAGGCATCTGCTCCTTTGTATCCTGAGCAAACTGAGGGTTGCAGATATTTGTATTGTTTGTGTTTTTCCTGCTCTAAAATGTTTGAACTTGTTTAGTGAGGAGCCCTAGGAAAAGCCAGTGACCTACAGTCATGCTTTCTTTACGTATACAAGACAAGCTGATTGACTTTCTAGGGAGATATGGAGGATGTGACGTGATGGTGGCACAAAACTGTCGAAATTAGTTATGGATTTTTGTTTCACTTTTCAAGCTTGAAAAAGTTTGTCATATTCTTGGCAATTTTAATCTAGCAATTTACACGTGATTAAGGAGTAAGTGCTGTATATAATATTCTTTGGAAATAATTTTTATAACTGTATTTTAGAGAATTAAATTTGTACTTTACTAAATTTAGACCCTTTCTTTTAAACAAATACTGGATTCTTACCCTTGAGCAATCAATAATGATAGTATTATGTAAAGCAATTCTTATACAATGTACTACCCTTAATAGAAGGTCTTTCATTTTGCTACTGAAATTTTATTGAGTCAAGGCCTTAGCCAACTTAAAGGCCTCCCCTAAAACAATATTTATAAAAGAATAACCACTTCATTTTTAAATTTTAAAAGTTCATTTAATTGAGAAATAGAAAATAGGCTTCACTACAATGTGCCCACTTGTTCTTTTCTTTTAAGGAGAAAAAGTACAAAAACCATGTTCAGTTAAGGACCTAAAGGTGCAAAAAAAAAATGTGCACGATATAATCTTTGTTAGTTATCTATTGAATTTATTATCTATTTCTGGAGATACTAAACAATTAAGGGTATTCAAAAATAATATATTTGTTAATATCTTAGAAATTCAAATGCACAAAAGGTTTCTAGTATGAATTAATCCATAATGTACTTTTGGTTAATTTTAACCAGTTATCTCAGTGATTATGATCCTGTTTACAGACAGCTTTGGTGTGGGAGTCATTAATCTGTTCTTGAGGAGCCAAAAGCCATTTCTGTTACTA